GATCAGCACCTTCTCAATGTAAAACTCCTGAGATAGATTTAAAGTGCCAGCAGATCTATCTCGAGAAATCTTCATCCCCAAAATCTGTTTTGCTGGACCCAAATCTTTCATCTCAAATATTGCAGACAACCTTGTCTTCAGATTGTTAATCTCCCTCATACTAGATCCTGTAATCAACATATCATCCACATACAAGAGTAGAAAGACATATGAACCAGTGTATTTCTTGAAACAACAAGTATCTTTTTTAGCTTTGCAGAATCCACTCTTGGTCATGAAGGAGTCAAACTTCTTGTACCACTGCCTTGGTGCTTGCTTTAGTCCATACAAGCTCCTGGTGAGCTTGCACACCATGTATTCCTTGCCTGGAACAACAAATCCTTCCGGTTGTTGCATATAGATCTTTTTGTCAAGATCTCCATGTAAAAACGTTGTTTTTACATCCATTTGCTCTAGATGCAAATTCTCCAATGCAACAACACTCAACAGAATTCGAATAGAGGTTAACTTCACAACAGGAGAGAATATTTCAGCATAATCAATACCTTTCCTTTGTGAATATCCTTTAACCACTAAATGATCCTTGAACCTTCTTTTGCCATCTGGTTCAGTCTTGATTCAGAACGCCCACTTGTTCAGCAAAGCTCTCTTCCGTGCTGGTAGCTCAGTCAACACCCATGTTTTGTTCTTATCATGTGACCTCATCTCATCATCCATGGCTTGCTCCCACTTGATCGAATCATCCACCTGTAGGGCCTCATCAAAAGACTCTGGTTCCCCCTCATAAGTCAGCAATAGATAGTGTAATGAAGGTGAATACCTATCTGGTGCCCTGATGGATCTGGATGATCTCCTTAAAACCTGCTCAGGTGTAACTTGATCCACTTCAGATTCTTCAGTAAGAGTTGGTTGAGTATCTTCTTCGACATCTCTGGGTTACTCTTCTCCAACTCAACCTCAACTCCCACTTGCTTTGTAATCTCTAGAACCTTCTTCTCTTTGTCCTTCTACAAGACAGACTCATCAAATGTCACGTCACAATGTCTCAGGATCTTTCTGTTTTTGTCATCCCAAAACCTGTAACCAAACAAATCAGAACCATAGCCAGTGAAGTAACATTTCACAGCCTTGGCATCAAGCTTGTCTCTCTTTTCTGGATCAACATATACATAAGTAGTGCAACCAAAAGTCCTCAAGTGTGAGTACTTGAGTTCTTTTTCTATCCACACCTCCTCTGGAATCTTGAACCCTAAAGGAATTGATGGTCCCCTGTTGATCAAGTATGCAGTTGGTCTCACAGCATCCGCCCAAAGTGTTTCGGGCAACCCACAGTGTATCCTCATACTCCTTGAACTCTCATTCAATATTCTGTTCATCCTCTCAGCAACTCCATTCTGCCTTGCCTTACCAGGAACTGTTCTCATCAATCTTATTCCCTCAGCCACACAGAATGCCTTGAACTCTAATTTGTCATACTCTCCTCCATTGTCAGACCTTAGGCATTTGAATTTCAAACCAGTCTGATTCTATACTTCAGCTTTCCACTTCTTGAAAGTTGCAAACGCATCTGACTTATGCTTCAAGAAGTAAACCCATACCTTCTTGCTGAAATCATCAATGAAGGTAACATAGAATCTGGATCCTCCAAGTGATGATACTTGAGATGGTCCCCAAACATCTGTATGGACCATTTCCAACTGCACTTTCTTTGGCTCTGTAGGAATCTTTGTGAAGCTTACTCTTTTCTGTTTGCCCATAACACAGCTCTCGCAAAGACCCATATCAACAGACTTCAAACACTCTAATGCTTCTTTTGCAACCAGTATCTTCATTCCTTTAGCACTCATGTGTCCAAGTCTGTTGTGCCACAGACATGAACCGAAAGCACCTTCAGCAACAGCCGCCATGTTTATACACCCTGCAGTGGTGTACAAGGTTCCAGATTTGGTCCCATGAGCTACTACCATAGCACCTTTCATGATCTTCCACGAACCTTTCCCAAACTCTGCTGCATATCCCGTGCTATCCAACTGACCAACAGAGATCAGATATTTCTTGATCCCAGGAATATATCTGACATCCTACAATGTCAACTGGTTTCCCGCGGTGGTCTTTATGCAAACATCCTTCCTTATTTCAATCTCTAAGACTTTATTGTCAGCAAGATATACATTTCCAAAATTTCCAGATTTGAAATTTTGAAACAACTCCTTGCTTGGAGAAGAATGAAAAGATGCACCAGAATCCAAAATCCATGATTCAACCGGGCTGTTCACACTAAGGATTAGAGCATCCCCAATGTCCTCTACTGAATTTACAGAATCATTGTCATCTCCAAATTTCTGATTTTTGTTTCTTCTTTTGCATTGTACAGTTCGTCCGAAAGTGCCCTTTTTCTCCACAGTTCCAACAGGTCACGTTTGATCTGTTCAGGGATTTTCCTTGATTCTTTGATTTTGATCGACCATGTTGATTTTGGACTTTCGTCTTATTTCTCCCCCTTCGATCAACGCTGAGAGCACTGCCCGATGAATCTTCCACTTCTCATTTGCGAATAATTTTGCTAAGAATAACATCACGGATTTCATCAAACTTCAGTTTCTCAGATCCAAGGGAACTGCTAATCGTAGAAATAACAGTATCCTAAGACTCGGGCAGAGATGACATCAAAATCAACGCCTTAATTTCATCTTCGAAATTAATATCCACATAATTGAGTTGACTCACAATCATATTGAAGTCGTTTATATGATCAGAAATGGATCCATTCTCAGACATCTGTAAATTGAACAATCTACGCATCAAATATACCTTGTTCATAGCCGATGGTTTTTCATACATGTTTGACAGTGCCTTCAACAGACCGGACGTAGTCTTCTCCTTCACGATGTTCAACGCCATGTTTCTTGACAAAGTCAACCGAATCAACCCTAGAGTCTGGAAATCCTTGAGTTTCCACCTCTCCTCTGTCATGGATTCCGGCTTCACCCCGGTCAACAGTTCGTGAAGATATTTCTGGTACAGATAATCTTCAATCTGCATCTTCTAGAAACTGAAATTGGATCCATCAAACTTCTCGATTCCAAACTTCGAATTATCCATCTTCAGTGATCGTGTTGAATCTCCTTACTTCTGATACCAGTTGTTAGGATCGAATTCACGCACACACACTAGATGAATGAAGAACACAAGAACTTTCAAGAGAAAGAGATGAGAGATCTGGAGAGAGAAAGAGAAAACCCAATATTTCATGGTAACACCCCGTGAGTAAACTTCCACGGCGGTGAGGTATATTTATATTAATAAATTAGAGTATTTTTGGTTACAGAGAATAAATAGAGAATAAATAGGAAAGCCTAAAATAGAGAATAAATAGGAAAGCCTAAAATTAATCAGGCTCAACTACCTAACAGAATTCTACCCCTAGATTTAGGTAGTCTTGAGATGAGTTCATTTTGAGTTATCGAGTTCCTAATTCTTGAGTTGAATCATTCTTGTTCATTTATGTATGAACCCTATAAATTGAGTTATAAATTTTGAGGATAATCTCTTTTTTACTTATCACAAACTAAAAAATTAATAATAACCCTATTTACTTACCAATAAAACATTGTCCACTATGTTATATCCTTGAGAAAATGATTGTTCGTAAAAGTTAGCAACATATTTGCCTCAATCCATTTATCATGTATTAATTGTGCGACTGGAAGGAATTTGACTGCTGAATAAAAGTATTTGTCATTTGAGGTTTGCTTTCTTTCAATTTGATAGAGTAAATTCATGTATTTTTCCTCACTCCTTTTCAAATTGTTGAGATTTAGATTTGACATACACAATTAAAAGAAACAAAGTTTTGCTGAATCTTACATATTGTAACCTAGAAAATACAGAAAGTTAAGATCACGTATCCAAAAAAAACAATCTTATTGATAGTACAAAACACAAAGTATCTTTCAATAAATTCATCAAGTACTTTTACTTAAAAATCTAATATAATATGAAAAACAAATGTTAAGATATTAAAATTCTACCAAGCCTCTCCCTCCTTCGTTGCCACCACTATTTGCACAAAATCCACCTTCACTAAATCCATCACCGTCATCGCCAACAAGGCCCCACAATTTGTTTTCGAATCCATGAACCTCGTGATGAACTTTGCCAACCCCAATTCATGTTAATCCTTGCATCTGCAAGAAAAAATTTCACCTTGCTCTTGTAAAAGTTGTTCCTTTTGTGTTTCTTTGTTGTAGACTTCCTCCTCAAGATAGAATATTACCCTTTCCTTTCCATGGAGCATGTTTCAAAAACTCCAAGATATGGATTAATAACAACAATTTAGTTATATGTTTCTTGGCGCCTAATTAACGTGATAATAAAAGTTAGTGTTGTATACTTTAGGAGGTGATTTTGAAAATCACTTTTTTCATATATGCAAGGAAAGTCTAGGTAATCATTTCTTTAAAATAAACTTGGTCAAACAAGCTATAGTAGTCCAACAAAATTCAAATAATGTAAAGGCTTACCTCTTTTACTTCAACGATTTCTTGATCAACTTCAAGCTTTGATAAACCCCTGAATACATATTTTATTACCTTCACAGTAGAACATTGTTTACTCTTATAATAGTAATACCGCAATCCAATAAATATTTTTGTTAAGAACCATCTACATATATGATTTTACAAAGTTCAAACTGCACACATTACAAAGTAATAATATTACTAGCTCTCATTTTCTGTATATATCATTGGTTAGAGATCCGTTGGTCGTTAGGATAAATTGTAGCTATATATAATTTTAAATAACTAAGAAAAATATACAATATATAAAATCCAAAATATGTTTTGACTATGTTAATATTCTTTTAGTTTAGTAGTTACGACTTCATCTCATTCCAATTTGTAATAAGAAAATAGGTTTAGTTATCACCTTGCACACACAATACAAATGTTGTGATTCTTTTTTTTAGTAAAAAGAAAAGATAAAACAAGTGATAATATATTAAAATGGAGGATTCACGATATTAGTAGTTAGTAAATCCCAATTCGGCGCATTACATAGATTCATACATGTTGGAGGTAATTTTGAGACCTTCCATCTAACAATAAACATATGTAGCTAGATAGATGAATATATACAGGAAACTACCTCTTGACATAATACGGGACCAAGGATCACGAGTGACCCAACCTAACCATGTACCCAACATATCATAAGCATACCAAAAAATAATTAAATATAAATGAACTATGAAGAAGCTAAAACAGTGGCTATCTGGAGTGGGGAGAAACCCAATTAATATGAATATATAAAATATACTAAGAGTTTAGTGATAACTCAGAGATAAACTCAATAATCCAAAAAAAATTGATTCTACTACTATATTTAAAAAGCTCTAACTGAGTTGAGTTGTTCGGACAAGCTCATGTCTGTTGTCCTCCGAATATGAGGATTCACCACTGAAGTTGTTGAAACAACTGTTATAGTCATCCGAACAAACATAATTACTATAATATAGCAAAATATATCAACTAAGATCTTGTTTTCAAAAACCCATGGATAGAACAAACTTAAAGTGATTTCTTTCAAGAAATTCATCAAGCACTTTGGGAACAAATAGTTTCAACTAACAAAACTAAATTATAGTCTCCAATATCTCTCCATCCTTCGTTGCAGTCATCGTTTTGAACGTTGTGATCCCAACACCAATTTAGATTGTTCGGGAAATATTCCTTCTTGTAATTTTCCTTTGCTATGAATTTTCTTATTTGGTCCTTTGTTTCAGTCTTTCCTCCCAAGATTGACGATTCTATTTTTGATTTTTTGGAGGATTCTTCTTTTGACATTCCAATATCCTTTCATTTAAAAAGTAGAATTGTTAAAGTACAAAAATATAAAAATAAAGTTGCCTAAAAGCTATCGTAACATAAACTTACCTTGTTTTTGTATTTGAAATACCTATTCAAAAGGTTGTTCCTTGCTTCACCAAGAAACTTTTTTACCTCCCTCGTATCATAGTTGTTGATTTTCTGTTTCTTTGTTGCAGTCTCCCTCTTCAAGATGGAACATTCTCCTTTTCTTTTCTTGGAGCATTTCTTAACAACTCCAACCTTTGGTTTATAAGGACAATTTAGTGTGTGTGTGTGTCTATATGTATTAGATCTTTTATCTTTTCTAAAACTTGGCCAAATAAATAGTTATTATTCAACAAGAAGGGATATAATGTAAGAGCTTACCTCTCTTACTTCATTAGTTTCTTGATCCACTTCCATCTTCAGCTTATCAAAACCTTCGAATATATAATTTCTTACCTGCACAATTGATTGATACTTGCAACCTTTGTCCTTGTGAGTGTAATACTGCAATCCAATAAGATAATTGTTGAGCTTATTTATAGTAATTATTAATACATTAGAAAGTGATGATATTCACATGCTCTCATTTTCTTGATTTATCATTTGGTTAGATATTTATTGGTCCTTAGGATAAGATCAAGCTGGATAATTTTTTAATAATTAAAGAAAATCATACAATATAGAACACTACATAAGTCTTGATAATAATATGAAACAAAGGAAAAAAATTGATTATCGCCTAACACACACAAAATAAATTTGAGAAGTTGAGAAAATGAGCGATAATATAATGTAGGTTGGGGTAAATTTTAGACCTTCCTTTTGAACACCAAACATAGAGAGTTAAATAGAGAGAGATATGTATAAAGTATAATTTACTTAAGTCACATAGTGTGAAGAGTTAATTACATTATTTCCCCACTCTTTTTCAAATTACAAAAGTTCCTTAAAATTTATGGATCTCAGATACATTACTAGACTTTCGGATACATCACTCGACTTTCGAATATATCACTAGACATTTGCATACATAGGTGAGAGATGTATCCAAGAGGGGAGGGATGTATCAAAGAGGCAGAGGGGATAGGACGTCCGAATCCATCACTAGACTTTTGAATACATCAGCTAGACATTCAAATACGTAGGAGAGTGATGTATCCAAGAGGAGACTTTTGAAAAGAAAAATCAAATGCTAAGAAATTTTAAAGACTGTGGTAAAATAAGATGTGTATTTAGGTAATTTTACAAAACATAATGCATTTGTGTACATACTTGAGGAAACTAGAAATTTTCAACATTCATATAAAAAATTATATCACACAAAAATTATATTTACCATGTCAAATGCTCCACTTTCACGTTGTCTCCTTTCAGCTACCCATTCATGTAGCATCTCCTTGTATTTATGATTAAGCCAGTAAGGATCACTAATTCGTTCTTCTGCGGGATCTGAACTAACCTTTTGTGGTTTATAAATTGTGCAATAGTTAGCTTCACCTTTAGAAGGTTCAATTCAAAAGCTAACATTACGAAAGATTGATCTTTTCTTCTTCTCATCGGTCAATTTTTCCGCTACTTTTAAAGCGTCAACGTCATTCTGCAATTGAGAAAACATGTTAAAGTTTTGAATCTATATTAGGAGCTATCTCTTATTTCCCACATTAAAAAAATAATGATCTCATAAAGCTTTTTTTGAAAAAATCCCAAACAACTTAAGTAAAAAACAAATTACTGAAAGAGTAATCTCAATTAGAAGAGAAAAATAATAATTAGAAGACAGCATACCGCCATTTGAGCACTATTGATTGTCGAAAATGGTGCCAGAGGATTTATATCTCGACAACTTTTCATATCATGTGAAAAAGTCATGTTTATATGAAAATGGATATTAGAAAATCTTTGTAGGACAAAAAATAAAGAAAACTAAAACAACAATAGTTGAGAAGTAATGTAGTTTGAGGATTGAAATATCAACGACTATTTATAGATAATTAAATTGAGAAAATAAAAGTAGTTTTTAAGATAGATAAAGATGAAATTAATAAGATAAGATTGAAATATAGCTTTAGCTCTTTTAGAAAAATAAACCAAAATATTTGGATATTTGGTTAATACTTATTTATTATTTGTAGAAGGTGGCTCTTTTGGAAATTTTTTTTACGATATTTGGTTAATACTAATTTTTCATTTTTAGAAGGTCTCTATTTAGTCTTTTAGAAAAAGAATCACGATATTTGGATATTTGGTCAATACTTATTTACTATTTGTAGAAGAAGGGATGTGTCAGAAGACCCTTCTTCTTATCCTAATTTGACTAAATTTATGTTTCATTAATTTTGCTGAGTCGGATAATGTATGCAGTTACACATATATAAAATCGAGTGAACACAAAATTAGAATCAAAATTATATTAAAAAAATAGATTATCGGGGTGGCGGTTTGGGGTGGGGGATTATAGAAAAAAAAAGAATTTAAAAAAAATCTTGGATCTACTTTATTCTTTGTGTGGGTGTATGTATGCATGTATGTATGTGTGCGTGTGTGCGTGTGTGTATGTGTGTGTGTGTGCGCGTGCGTGCATGCATGCGTGCGTGCGTGCGTGTGTGTAAGTCTCTCTCTTTCTCTCTCTCTCTCTTTCTCTCTCTCTCTCTCTCTCTCTCTCTGTGTGTGTGTGTGTGTGATATATATATATATATAGGGGGGATGAGGTACAGCTATCCCCTATACTATGACAAAATCTTAGAGACACACCTTAACTAAATTAAGGTCCTATTAGCCCCCCTGCCCCTGATTTTTTATATATATAATTTTGTACACCTTTTTGGCTTGTGTGACATTAAAATATCTCCCACATGCCTCAATTACTGGAGGCACGGGGTGTGCCATGTAAGCCGAAAGGTGTACCAAATAAAATGATTTCAGTTAGTGATATAAATTGGTTGGGAAACGGTCATCTAGTGATATGATATAAAGCCGATGAAAAATGCTTCTGTCTAGTGAAATGATATAAAGTCGATGAAAAATATTTTGGCTAGTGATATTGTGCAGAATGAAAATGATTCTAGCAAGAGTATGATTATTGTGATTTGATGCATTTTGATACTTATGTTTGACCTACTTGTTATCTGAGATTGATGTATTTGTTACTTGTGATTGATCCACTTGACATTGAGATTGGGTTACTTGATACATGTTGGTTGTTGATTATTGGATTGTTGACTATTGAACTATTATTAGTCAGCCTTATGAGTTGTGTATCGTAAAATCGTTAGGTTAGGCTAAATTTTGTTCAGGTTGTAGTTTAAGGAGGTTCAGTTGGGATGAAAAAAGTATTAAATGTTTTAGGTAGTTGGATTTTTATTAGGTTGCTTATTGGGTACCGTGTTGATTGGTACTCACTCCTTTCTTCTGCACTTTTGTAGGTTTCGAGTGCGGTACCTTGTGATTTCTCTTTTTCTCCCATCTCTGAGGCTTGTCAAAGAACTTTTGAGCAGTAACTACTTGTCATCTCTCGTTCTTTTATTTATGTTTTGTTCATTTTGAGAAAAAAAGACTTGAGACGTGCTTATTTCTTAATGCCACACTTATGTATTTGTGGTTTGAACATTTAATATTGGTTTTAGTAAGTTTTCCGCTCTTCTATTGTTTTTGTCTTATCTTTCCACATTTATTTTGTTTCATTAGGTTGAGGCTGACTTGACTTGCTAGAAAGAGAAGAATGCCATCACATTCTTTTTTGGATCGTGACACTAATAAAACACATAAACAAAGTACTATAAAGGAGAATTTATTTAATATAACAAATCCCTTACACATTTTTTCTTAGCAGGGAAAAGAGTTTTAGAAATTCGAAGATGACGCTTAATGATTTACTTGTTGAAGTATGTCCTGCCCCGAGCCTACACTTTGGGCGTGACAGGCACTCGAGAACCATTGATGGCCCCAAGAAAACCCTTAGTCTTTTTTAACTCTTAGAAGAAGACTTACCCAAGTGTTCGATGTTGATCCTGGTTACCTGTATCTGCATATTAAAAGATGCATGCCAAATGACTTCAGAACATAGAATGTACGAGCATGTGGGGGAAAATCTAAACATGACATAAGCTTAATTTTTAACTGAAGAAAATACTTACTTTATCTCAACTCAACTCTTTTTAATATAAAAACAAAAACAATATTGTGATATAAAGAAAATCTTTTAGAACAGAAGATAACAACTCAATGTATTGAAAAATACAATGTATCTCAGTTTGTATGCAAAAATACAAATAAACTCTGTTTGGGAGAATCTCTGATCGACAACCATCACTGTGAGCTATGTGATGATACAACATCTCGTCCACGCTGCCAAAACTGTTGTATACCTTAAGGGGTATAGAGCTCCTCAGTTTAGTGGATCCACTAGTGCATTCTTAAAAATAATAAAGAATCATTTAAAGTATGACCCTTCTACTCAGTTAGACTACATGGTTTATGGAGGTTGTGAGTTGTTAGAATTCTCCCCCATATCGGTTTGTCAATAATACTCCCAAAATATAACTTAGCTCATTATGTTTTAAAGAAAACATTTACTCTTCCTAAACTTTTGAGATTATTACTCAAAAGGTTCCTCTTAAAAGATATAGTACTCAAAATTGCTCATCAACTCATTTAGAAATCGGTGTTTCCACTTTGCTTAAATATAAAAACATTTCTCTTGGACTACTTATTTACCATATATCATTTTAAAGAAAATGAATTTCAACTTTACTCTTCCTCAACTCAAATGATCAAGTCGTAAAAAGAGTTCTTTAAAGAGGATTTGCAAAAGAGTTCTCAAAATACTCTCAAGACTTTACTCTTAACTCTACCTTGAAGTGGAATTAGGAATTCGAGGGTTATGCTTTGAAATGTTAGACCTCTGAATGATTTAGGAAGGTTAAGATAGTTGTACAAAAAAACGAGAGCAGACCCAAGTTAAATAACACTGGACCGATACGGATATACAATTTCATTTTTGGTCACATAAATATTATTGAGACATAGGACTCTTTATTTTCTCTGCGTCTATTTAAAGACTGAAAACTTAAGTGTCTATGCATCAAAGACCTGGGTGCAATTATTTGCCCGATGTTTTCTTCCTCTCCTAAACACAACTCAACTCATACCCAATGCAGTTTCTATCGACCAAATTCACGAAAATTCATAAACCCAGAATAATCTCAATGAACCAATATAAAAATCTATCAAGGAACTCAACTCATTCGCAAAACTCATACCTCAAGAACTCAAAGACTTTCAATAATGGCTAAAACTCAAGAACTTCTCAAAAACACCAAATCCTTCATCTTAAGAACAAAATTTCATTAAAATAACATGATTGACATGTGGGTGAACAAACCTAACATTATGAAAACTCACATACCTCTATTTAACAAAAAAATACATCGATTTGCAAGAGATTTCGTTCTTTCTTCCTTTTGTCCAATTTTCCTCTTCTTGAACTCCTCTCAAAACCCTAAACGTAAATTAGTATTTGTAAAACTGATCCAAGTCAGATTTGAACCAAAATATTTACTAAATTTGTATTAATCTAATGGGGTAAGAAAAAGACCAAAATACCTCTCACTAATATGGGTAACTTTCCTAAACTCAACATGCTGACTTCATACATGCATGTTGATATACCGTGGTTTCACGGTATTATTAATACTTTTTTCTTAAGTTTAGTGTGTCCATAAGCCTTTTTGTTCTAATTTTTATACAAGTTTATCCTTATTTGCAAGCCTTTTTGTGCTAATTTTTATATAAGTTTCTCCTTATTTGCAGGAAATCTGTCCATAGATGGATGTGGAGGTTTTTGAGCGAAGAAATGTAGAAGAGACCACCTCCAGAGCTTGTAACGGTCTTCCATGCTTGTGACGGTCCGTAGGTGGCAGCGTAGTGCAGCTTCTAAAGGAAGATCGGGAAGTCTGAACAAGTGTGGTGTTACGGAGTCCATGACGGTCCGTCATGTCTGTGACGGTCCGTCCTGGCAGGTTCATCATGAATTTCAGAGAAGTAGTCCTAGTACCCATATTCCAAGAGTTTAAGTGTTTGGAACGAAGACCCTCGACGGACCGTTGTGCCTGTGAAGATCCGTCCTACTTGCCGTCAAGGGTAATGAAGAGAGCAACAGAAGAAATTGCACAACTATGGGACGACGGAGTCCGTGACGGTCCGTCGTGACCATGACGATCCGTCACGAGGTCTGTCGACCCAGCCGCGTTTTGACAGATTTCCATAAAATAGAATCCTTGTTTACTTAGGTTTTTATTTTCTATAAATAGTTCAAAAAATCTCGTTTTTGGGGTTAGACTCTGTATTATTAGGTTAGACTCTGTATTATTAGGTTAGACTCTGGATTATTTGGTTAGGCCTTTGATTATCATTAGACTTTTTGTGAGATTCTTGATTACTTTAAGATTCTTCTAAGTGATTGTTGGTGATTTTTGTTGATTAATCAAGCGAACTTTCAGATTTTACTCTTTCTCATTGAAGTAAGTACATAAATTCTTATATCATATATTTGAATATTGTGATTATGACTATGGGTAACTAAACTCCATAACTAGGGTTGTGGGATCCATAGGCAAATAATGAGGTAAAACCTAACTAAAATAACAATTCTAGAATAGTGTATTGCATGTATTATTAATTCTTTCACTTAGAAGTTTTTTTAACGGATGGCCAATGTTAGATCTCGCCTTAATGCTACTTGCCGGACCAAGGAGGTAGATAATAGGAAAAGAATTATCAACATAGATTTAGTGTACACTATCTAATAGGCTAGTATTGATTGGTACGAGGTAATAACTTAGTCAAATATCGAATACGATGCAGAATATGAGGTAAAGATAAGGGTTAGGATAGCAACACACGTAGCCGGACCAAGGTGCGGAGTGAAATT